AAGGGAAAAGACTAGAGAAGGACTAAATGCGGGGGAGAATGTTCCACTTTCTTCAGAGGTACAGCCACTGAAACATGGAGCTCATGCTCCTATCTGTGCTCATGCAAGCAACACTAACTAAGCTCAATGGGTCACACACTCACAAAAGGGGCAGGGATTCATTGGGGAAAGGAAACTTTTCAATGGTACTTAGACCAGTGCTCATTTAAGCTCCATTTCTAGAATCCTAAATTGGCATAGCCTATAGCCCATATTTATCACACCTTCATAATCAGGGTCAATATTACAACGATGACATTATGACATTGGTATATAACTCCTCAGCGAACACAATGGGTTAGAATTATTTAAAATATTAGGATTCACAGGAGAAAATTAATAAAAGAATTTGTTTGGAAGATGATTGGAAGCCTTATCCAGTTTGGTGGCTTTCTTTCACACACACAGGAACTGGTTTTCAGAGAGAAGTAAAACATCCAAACTCAACCAGCCAGAACCCTGGAAACCACCTCTTCCACATGGCACTTGTCCTATCCATGCCGTGTCTCCTTTCCCCGCACAGAGCACATTTCGTGGAGACACACTCTATTCGGACTTTCTTGCATACCGCACACCATCTGCCTATTTCCTCTGCGCTTCTTACAGATTCTCTGAAACCGAATTCTTCACTCCTAAAGCCAGCTGTTGCCCATTTCCCACACCTCATTAGTTCCCCCCCCCCCGACTCTCAGAAATGTAAGTGTACAACTTGATTCATTTCTTTCCTCAAAACTTCCGTTCGATCACTGACAAATCCTGACATTTCCGCACCCGGAACACATCTTCGGTCCCACAGCTTTCTGTCCTCCTTCACTCCTCCTGCAGACCCAGGTGCCAATATGTCCTGTGCAGGAGCCCAGAATGGCCTTCTATATAATTTCTGGTCATCGCCCTTCCAAGACCTTTGAAACAGACCTTAGAGGATACAACTTTCCTAGCTTAGAAAGCGTTCGGCAGCGTCTCTTCCCACAGGTTTTACTCTAGTACTGATACTTCCAGAGAGCTCTCTGGTGAAGGTTCTATCCTGTAAGCAGTTAGGTACTGAGTAACAACCCTGGTTTCTATGACCAGATCCCAGTCACATCTCCACCTGCATAGTGGAAAACAAAAAATGCCTCCGACCTCACTCCTGGTAGAGAACTACAGCTTTCTTTACATGCTAAATCTGTTTCCACGTTACAAGTGTGAGTAAGAGGACTTTCAAACTTCCCAAGCTCATCCCAGACTTCAATTTTCTCTCAGAATGTCTCAGAATGCCTTCTACTCTGCACCTGTCCTTCATTTCCTGTATATTTCAATGGTCACCACGACGACCCAGTGTTGGAAAATGGGTTTCAATAAGGAAATTCCACAGATACTCTGTTCTGAAATAATATTTAAGACAGATACGTTTTGAAATTTCAGTGAGAGCATCAAAAACTTGAACTAATGCTATGCTGGCATCATAGTAGGAAGCATGGATTATCAACCCATGAACTCTAAACTGGATCTGTGACCTGATTTCCTGAGGTCATGCATTTTAGTGTGTGGGTGGTTAGCCTCATAATAAAGGCCAGATATGCAAATGGGACAGAACCATGCTGGGAAATATTAAAGTCAGTCTGTGGTATAAAGGTTTCTCTTCTATTTCTTTAAAGAGAAAAACAAAATGAGGAAACAGGCTCAAAAAATTTGTACATGAAAACAAATGTTACATTTGAACACAATTGATGTCAAAACATACTATCAAATTCCCAGTAATAGCTCCAGGATGCCGATACTTCGAATGCTGTGGTGCCAAGTTGGCTTCTGGTCAGACCACCCATCTTGTCTTAAGAAAGGGTAGCTTTAGGACCCTGCTCTGGGAAGATGTATCCCCTGCCAAGCGGCTCTTACGTTCTCTATCTAGTATCTTTTGGCTGTCATACCAGGCTTTAGAAGATGTAATGAGGAGGGGGGTGTCCCAACATGAATGAAGCAGTCTATTTCAGACAACCGAAGCTCAGCAAGCCAATGACCATTACAGATGCTGAGGATGCAGAGTGTCCTGAAAATTTAGCCTAAGCAGTAACACAAAGCATTCCAAGAAGAACTGGCTACACGGTTTGCATCGGCCTCCACAGTACTTCCAAGATACTGTAGTCTAGTTCATCACCAGAGGTGATGTGATAGCAAAAATCAAATACATGTCCTTCTAAGCAAAGCCTGGTTTGCGCCTATAAGAACTTAAGGTAGGAGAGCTCTAGTGAATTTTTCACCAACATTCTTTAAGATGTTCAGTGCTCTTACAATCTTTGTAGAAGTACTGCACAGTCACTGTTAAATACTTAACGTGCCTTTGGTGAGTATCCAGGATTTACAGAGCTATACTGTACACAATTTACAAATCATTGCTGAACATGCTGCCTTATGTAATGTGAAGGAAACTGGCTTTCCTAGAGCTTAAATGACTGCCCAAGTTGACCCAGGTAGTTAAAGCGCAATCTAGCGCTAATAATCCAATTGTCTACCCATGCCCAGGCAACTGTTTAGTCTAATTTATAGGCAGACATAGTCTGGACTAGACTTTGCAAACAGCACTTAGAATTTCCCAAGCCGGAACTTGGGATTTGTTTGGGAACTTCACATTTGTTTGAGAAAAAAAAAAAAATAGGAAATCCACGTTGGCAGACCAGGTAGAAAAAGAACGGCGAGACAAGAATTATAAGGATTAGAAGTCAAATTATAATCCCAAATAAATGTCATATTACAAGTTACAATTGAACATCTGCAACATTATTCCAAAAAAAAATGACTCTAAGTGAAGCAGAACAGAATCCGAGGAGAGGAAAAGGTTTCTAATAGGTCTGTATTTATTGAGGTCATTTGATCACCATTTATCTAGAGCCTACAAGCACAAAATTACATGCTGGGAGAATTGAAATGATTAAAAACATTTCATATCAACATAATCACCACCCACTGCGAAAACAGATGAACAATAAATTCTTGGGCCTTAGTACAACGATGTTTGAAGGATAGGGAAGATCAAGAGATAATACTCTACTCTGCCCAGACTAAAGTCCCAATTAGGGCAGATTTTTGACAGTAAAACTCAGTCACAATTTCTAATGCACCCTATAGCCGTAATTTGGAAAATACCTTGTCAAGTGTTTTTACAGCAGATTGTCAGGTAAAACCAGCCCTGTATCCTTCCTTTTTTTTTTCTTTTGTTCAAATTGCTTCACTCGGTATGGAAGTGAATTCTTAGGTTATGATGCCTTGGAACTATAGTCTCAGCTCTCACTCATGTTAATGCTGTCGTGATGGAAAACGGAACTGACTACTTTCACATATGATCCCAAAAGAGTGATGTTTTTCGAAGCAAGGAAACACATTACATTCCTCCTAATCAATAGAAAAATACTGCCTACCATAAAGTGGTTGCAAGGAAAAAAAAAACTATCCTTCTGGTGTTTCATTTAATTTTTATTATTTTATGAACAACATCTGGATATGATGCTTCTTCCTTTTACTTCTACTATGTGTAGTATTGTTGTTTCTTCTTGCTCTGTACCCAGAATGTAGAGACGAGGGATCGCATTAGAATTCATAGAATGATACAAAAAGTGTATCAATGCCTTCTCCCTTCTACCTGTGTCCTCTCTCTCTCAGTGTTTCTTCTCCTTATTGTGCCAGACATCTTCATACAAACCTGGGAAAACAGGTGAATACTACCTGAATAAGACTATCTTATGGATATAAACCATGGTCTGATTTAGGAGTAGACATCAAATTCATGCTTAAAGTAGACTTAAAACTCAGAAATACTTTTTCATACTAGTTCCTATTTTTTCTTTCATGTCAATAGTTGGCAAAGGCCAAGTAACAAACATGTTAGGCTTTGTGTGCTAGGTACTTCCAGTTTGGGATTGCTAGACTTTACCAAATAAAAATATAGAAGTTACAGTCACATTCTGATACAAATAAATATTGAATAAATTTTAATATAAGCATGTCTCATGTATATTGTTTATCTGAACTTCAAATAGAGGGTTTTCTATGTTTTATCTGCCAACTAATCTGCTATAGCAGCTTAATTCTGCCATTGGTACAAAATCAGTCACAAACAATAATTAGCCAAGTGATACTGAATTCCAATAAATTTTTATTTAGGAAATCACAGGCGGATATGTCTCGGGAGGGTCATGGTTGGCCAACATCTACTATATGTCATTATCTTAGTCTTTACTGAATGGTGGCCTGCAAAAAGAAACCAAGCTCATATTATCTATATATTTAATTTGTAGACCATTTAACAAAATAAACTTTTGATGTCACATCTTTTATAGATCATGGAAATGGCTCATTTTATCAAATGATGAAAGCAAGCACTTTGGAGTTTCTCCAGTTTTAATTTGTTCATTCAGAAGGCTGTAATGACTGACAGAGGGTGCATAACAGCTGGGGAAAGAAGTCTACCATTTGGAGGTAGCAAGTCACTTAAATGCCACTAGAAGATTATTTGATTGATTTGTTGAAGCACTGAAATATAAATGCTAAGCTTTTATAATAAGGATTCCTCTCCCTCAAACAGGAAGAAAAATAGGCAAATAAGAGGAAATAGAGCATTGCTTGCTCAATTTCTTGCCTCTTGGGGACTCAGCCAGGTCTGCTTTTGCTCTGTTCATCGGCTTTCTTGCTTCTATTCTCCCTATATGATCTGTGAGCACCTGTTCCCAAATCAACTAATATCACAGTTGGGCATGAATTTTTGTATCACATATATTAAAATTTAACCTTTTGTTGAAATAGGAGCGGCAGGGCTGCGTCCCCGGCACCCGGCCACCCGCATGGCTAGCTTATGCCCCGAAATAATTACACGGAAACTGTATTCTTTCAAACACTGCCTTGCCCGGCTAGTTCCAGCCTCTTATTGGCTAGCTCTTACATATTGTTCTAACCCATTTCTATTATTCTGTGTAGCCCACGAGCTGGCTTACCAGGGAGGATCTTAACCTGCGTCTGTCTGGAGTGGGAGCATCATGGCGACTCTTACTCAGCTTCTTTTTCCCAGAATTCTCTTCTGTCTACTCCGCCTACCTAATTTTCTATCCAATAAAATGGGCCAAGGCAGTTTCTTTATTATAATTAACCAATGTCCTTCCTCCATCAACCTTTCCCATCACGGCAAAGAACATCAGATGCAAAGCTGAGTAGTTTGAAAAGGTGGAGCATGAACAGCATGCGGTAGACAGAACGGAGGTGCATAAGCTACCACTATCTTGTTACTAAACCTCAGTATTGTCTGTCGTCCACCTTTTCAAGGAACTGGGAAAAGCTAGAATCATGCAGTGCAGCTCGCTCAGCTGAAAGATGCTGGATGTTCATTAGCAAGGAGTAATCTGAGATTTGTGGAGAGATTCAAGTGTAAAGTACCTTGGCTTTTCCCTAGAGCATCTGAGAATGGTTATGTTCTCACTAGAGTAAGAACTACCTCATCTTTAACTGTCCCTTTGAATAACTTTATCATGTCTCTGTAGAAGAACTTCATTCAAGTGCTGCTTCACGTGAAAGTGGATGTGTGTTCCCTATAGGACTAGTTCTATTAACCTAGAACCCTAAGGGCAATAAAATTAGACAAGCCCATTTAAAATTAAAAACATAATTCTGACAGAATAAATACACAGGTCTATATAGTTCTTTTTTTCAATGTATTTGACATGGGAAATATCGGAATACCATAAAGTTGCCCAATATATACTACAGGTTTGGAGTATCATTTTTTCATTTGTATTTTGTCTTCTTTTTTTCTTCTTTATTGATTTTTATTGAGCTCTACATTTTTTTCTGCTCCCCTACCTGTCTCTCCCCTCCCCTTCAACCTTCTCCCATGGTCCCATACTACCAGTTTACTCAGGAGATCTTGTCTATTTCTACTTCACATGTAGATTAGATCCATGTATGTCTTTCTTAGGGTCCTCACTGTTGTCTAGGTTCTCTGGGATTGTGATTTGTAGGCTGGTTTTCTTTGCTTTATGTTTAAAAAACACTTATGAGTGAGTACATATGATAATTGTCTTTCTGGGTCTATGGTACCTCACTCAAAATGATGTTTTCTAGCTCCATCCATTTGCCTGCAAATTTCAAGATGTAGTTATTTTTTTCTCCAATGTGATACTCCATTGTGTAAATGTATTTCATTTTCATTATCCATTCTTAGGTCGAGAGGCATTTAGGTTGCTTCCAGGTTCCTTTGTAGTCATACAAGTTCAAAATACCATTTCAATTTTAGAAACAATTTTGTAGATCATTATGTTCAGAGATGATGGTTTTTAGTATGTAGGTTTTTTTGGGTTTTTATCTTCTTAATTTTCAAGATTGTTTGACTGTAGACCTGTGAGTCAGTGTGTACCATATCACAGAGAATTAAAATTCAAAAACCAAACTTAAATAAATAAATGACTTAAAGCAAGTTCAAAATTTTTAAGTTAACTAAGAATCTGGCAGGATGAAAATCTTGTGTTGTATTGCTCTTTTTTAAAACAAAGAGGAGTGTTTGATGTTCAGTAGATGATAAGGCTTATTAGTAACCAAACCTGAATGCAAAGAGCCCAGAACAGCCTTCTTCAAGGACAGGGTAAGAAAACTATTTTTCTTTATAGTTTCTTTAAGAAACTATTAAAACTTAATTTCTTAGAGCCAGAAAAAAAAGGTAACCCAAAAATTAAATGACATTGAAATGTTTTGAATAAAAGGGATTAGAAAACTAATTATATCTAGGTGCTATGATACCTAATGGTTTTAGCAATCTAGACACTGGCTTTCATAGTTTAAAAAATAAAAAAAAGAAATGAATGGGTGATAAATATCTTTGAAATATCAGAGAGTGGGGTTTGAACAGCAGCCATTGAAGAAGAACAATGGATTGAACCAATGTTCATCTGCAAACCATCAGAAGCATTCTTTCTCTCCCCAAAGCAGGTAGGTGTTCTAGTCAACCCTGGGACAGTGGTTACTTTAGAAGATTTTGCTATTTTATCCCGCATTGTGTGTTATTCAGTAAGTTCATTTTTCCATGTCAGAAACTTCTTTCTCCCTTTCTTCTTGGAAATGATTTTATCATCTAACCCTCCTTTTCCTTTTCTCTGAAAAGAAAACATACAACCAGAAAATAATCTTAACAAATAAGCATTCTGAATAAAGGATTAGTTTATCAAGGAATAAAATAGAGCAAAAATTAAAATAATAAAAGATAAAATAAAATTAGAACAAAAATAAATTTGTCAACCAATTCAAATAAATGCTAGTCTACTGGGATGTGTTATGGAAGAAATTAAGAAAGTAATAACCTTTATGTTGATTGTTAAGAGCTTAATAGATCTTTGCAGGGTTTGTAGAATGATAACCTGTTCTTTCTATATTGATGCATTCTTAACCATAGTGTTTTAATTTTTTTATTTTATGTTTCCTTGTGTATATTCTCACTATGAACCATTTAAAAGAAAAAATTAGAAGGCAAACAGAATTTCTGTCACCAACCAGATGATACTTTTGACTTCAGAATTTTTCTGAATTTAAGTTTGCTCTGCCTGACAAGTCTTACCCCTTTGGTACTTACCACTTCTTCTTCCCAGCTTGTCCCAGCCAGACAAGAACCATTCTCCTATGCACATACAGTTGCATCCCTCTTTCCTTCTCTCTCTCTCTCTCTCTCTCTCTCTCTCTCTCTCTCTCTCTCTCTCGATTTGCTTAGCCTGTACCCCAGTCCAGAGTGGTTGGGTGGTTGGATTCTGAGGGCTCCTGTCTTATTAATGGATTTATGGTTTTGTGATATTATTGGAAGATCGTGCAAATTAATGATGAGGCCCAGGTAAAGCATAGAGGTCACTAGAGCTTGCCCTTGAAAATGATTTGTCCATGGCCCCTTCCTGAATCTCTCCTTTGCATCTTGACTACTTTATTCCACCACAGTTCAGCCACTGTGATGGTCTGCCTTCAATACAGGCCCATTACAGTGGAGCAAACCAGCCGTAGACCAGAATCATGAACTCAAAAAAATCTTCCTTTGTTTAAGTTGTTAATATCAAGTACTTTTTCATAGTGATAAGAAACAGTCTAACACAACTTTTATTACTATAACTTTGAATTCACCTGGATGTTGCATTAACAACTTAAGTATCTGACCCACAATGTCATAAAGGTCAACTCAAGTTAAATACTTCAACAACCCAATTTTCTCCTTTTATGGTTCCTATCATCTTCTAAGTAAATCAAGAATGTTGAAGCAATATTTGATAATTGAGTTATATATTATGACATTCAGGTGGTTAATTTTTATCCCAGACCTACATTAGTATGCTGTGTAACGATTACAAAATTATTCCCAGTTGTGCTAACAACTAAGGAAGGTGAAGGAGAACTGACGTCAGACACGAAGGATTTCTATCCACCCTCTACAATGAATCAGTTCAATATTTAATGAATGTGTCTCCATATGGGGAAGAATTTCATAATTCAGTTTTTCCAACTAAATAAGTGCTTTCTTCTTTCCTCCTAGGGTAGTTGTTTGTCTAAAGATATAATGAGAACTATGACACAATTAGCCTTCATTTTTTGACACTGCCTAGAATTTTAAGATTCTAATTAGATATTCTTAGCCTGATTAACTGACACGGTTATTTAAAGTCATGTTAGAAAACATGTTCATAGCATTTGTTTCTTTACAAAGGTTAAAAATGTTTGTTTGTTTTCATGGCTCAATCTGTCACTCCCATGTTGATGAAGAAACATAACTTCCAAGGGTATAATAAAAGAAGTCGGCAAGAATTCTGGACTCACCAGCAAACGACAAAGATGATAAATGGGATTAGAGAACCCAAAGCTGTTCTGTCTTGAGTAAGTCGTTCAAGTTTTAGAAGGATTTGGATACAGTTCATTTACTAACAAAGTGATTAGTAGATGCCTGAAATATCAATGCCCTCTGCTTAACCTTCAGCAAGGGTGAAGAAGTGTCATCTTGGGTATTCATTCTGATTTATCTGCTCTGTTCTTTCAGCCCCGATCATGATGGATGGTCATAATTTATATTAAATTTAACTTTTCCTTAGATGACATCTCAGTGCTAATCCCATGTTAAGCACTTGTTTAACTAATCCAGCTCTTCAATAAACTATAAGAATAAACCAATGCTCTCTTTCCTCATTCTCCTCATATTTTCTACACACATAATCTAAAGTTATAATTTATATAACATGTATGTTATAAAACATAATTTATATTTATCTGTAATTACTACATTAAGTGTCTCAGTCATAAAAAAAAGCTTTTCACAAAAGTCTGAACTCAAAATAGATGAAGATACTAAGGGGCTGACTCTAGTAATTTGGAGCTGGTCCTAAATATCTCTATCACAGTCATGGAAAATTGGCATTCCTAAAGTGCAGCATAAATACAATCTTATCAACATAATCTTATCAAGATAATCTTACAGTATATTTTAACCTTCTACTCATCATTTACCATCATGCAAGAGAACACTACTGTATTGCTGTATGATGATCTGATATTATAGAATTTCAGAATCTCATCATTTGGGAGAGGTGCCCAGTCTAGGATAAATTTCTCATTCTAGGCAACACAACTTCTCAGCTAGTTCATAAAAGATCCAAGACTAGATATCATTTTTTTTCTTCTCTAGCCAAGAACTATTTGCACTTTGTTTGTTTGGTTAGCAATATTCCAATCAGAGAAAGAGTTAAATATGCCAGATTCAATAATGATTATATATTCATCAAAAAAAGAAATAAATGAATGGAAAAAGTAAACTTGGGTCCTCATTGCCAAAAATTAATATAATATAAGGTATTACTGGGATTATTCATGCTGGTTAAAGACAAATGCAGACCCCTAGGAACTCCAAGGAAATGCCAAGTTGCCTCTATGTAAGTGGAGTGTGAGACAATTATCAAGAACTATCTCGTTTGATGAGAAGCCTTTGAAGACAAGAGCTTGAAGAAATGAATGAAGTAACAGCTTCATAAATATCCTAAAGAGAAGAGATGATGGACAGCTCTTGGAGGAAGGAAGAGAGCATCCTAGAAATGATATGCAGCCTAATACCCCCTATGTTTTACTTTTAA